CACACACACAGAAACACGCAAACACACACGCACGTGCGTGCACACACACACACACACACACACACAGAGAAACACGCAAACACACACACGCATGTGCGTGCACACTCACACACACACAGGCGAAGAAAAAAAACGTACATGCACACAAAGCTATTCACAGAGGCACACATCCACAGATGTGTTGTATGCGGGGCACGACCTCTCTGGCTTAAGTTGAGGTAGTCAGTGTGCATGATTTGCATCTTCCAATCTCTTTGCTCCTTGACAGTTTCCAAAGTCGATGGAAGTTCTGACCCCGCTTTGTTTTTCAAAGATAGAATGACCCGTTGTGACAGGTAACGGCCGTGTTGGCAAAAAAAGATAAAATAAAGAGGACCCAGTTGATGTAGCTCAGTGGTTAGAGCACCTGTTGGAAATGGGCATTGTGGTATGAGGTTGCAGGTTCAAAACTCAATCGCAGCCTTGCGCATTGACACCGGCAGGGCGTTAGAATGATGCACGGCTGGACACACACACCCTTGGGCTCATACAGACACTGCCTGCGCACCACCCAAGGGGACTTAGTCCAGGTTGTTGTATGCTGGGTCTTGACTATGCGTGGGCTGCTTGGCGCGGTCATTGTTGGTTCTGATATTCTTCCCTGTTCTGGCATATCATACATTGGCATCAATTCACAACGTACTAAACGTAGCACATATGGTAGGGCACTGCTGTCACATAACAAAGGGCATGGGTTCGAGTCTGGCTAGAGACTTTGGGGGGGTTCTTGCACAGATAGCACCGCCATTCACACGACAGTACAACCCTATGTATACGGAATTCATCAGGGGCTTGGTGCGGGGTCCACACTACAACTGGGGCTGGTACGAGCAGCCTCAGTATCTGGAATCATGGCATATACACATACACGACTGGGGTGGGCAAGGGTTCTCAAGGCCTCGCGCTTGTCCTTGCCAGGCCTTGGTATCTAGAACCATGAACACATAGATATCACAAGGATAGCACATACACATGACTGGGGCTGGCTGTGGCCTTCAAGGCTTCGCGCTTGGCCTTGTCCCGCCTCGGTATCTCACATCTGTAGAAAGGAAATATACACATACACGACTGGGGTGGGCAAGGGTTCTCAAGGCTTGGCGCTTGTCCTTGCCCGGTCTTGGTATCTAGAACCATGGACACATAGATATCACACAGATAGCACATACACATGACTGGGGGTGGCTGGGGCTTTCACGGCTTCGCTCTTGGCCTTGTCCCACCTCGGTATTTGACATCTGTAGATAGGAATGAAATGCCTGAGTAAGGATACATAGATAGCGTACAGAGCTTAGGGGTTCAAAGGTTAAGATGGGAGAGGAAGAGTAGCTCCTTTCATGTGGATACAGGGGGAGGGGTTCAAAGGTTAAGTGGGACAGGGAGAGACTAGCTCCTTTTCAAGTGGATACAGGGGGAAGAGGTTTGAGTAGCAGCCTGGCAGTCTGAGTATTCTGAGCAAATCAGGGGCACTTGGCATCATTCGGAGTGAGTAGAATCAACGCTAAATAGTACCAGCCCTTAACTGTTGTATCTGGCGCCTTTTTGAGGGTGAAGAGGACACTATTTAGGGCTGCTCAGTCAATCCCCTGGGTTGCAGGGCAATCAATGCTGGCAGACCTCACAGTCACTGTTCTCATTGTTCTCAGACAT